TTCGATGTGACAGGTACTGTAGCAACTTTTTGGAAGTTGGGCACCAACTAAACACGGCGTCAGTTAGTAATCAGCAACAGCAAATTTACTGGAGACTGAAGTTTGTTGATTCTGTGGTGCATCAAACATTCATTCAAACCCATTGTGTCTTTTTTTTTCATTTCAATTATCACAGCATGTGCCCATGCAAGTCCTCAGCGCAGTTTTTTTTTTAATTTTAACATTTTTTGAAAACTAATTTTAAATTTAACACGGTCGTTTTTTTTAAACTAACACTTTTGGTCACGCTATTGCCTCGGGCGCGCCAAATGCTGTCTTCCAGCGCATGCATGGTGGCGCGCCGGGCAATGACCGACGTGGCGACGATCGGAATCGCGACCGCTTGACGTGGCGGGGCTGCTGCGCGCCACAGCCTGCAGCATGGCGCCGGCGGTACCGGACGGTTTACCACCTCCACCGTGCCTCGTGCTTGAAATCTGCGCCACTCACCGCGGGCACGCGCCCATCCACCTATTGTGGCCACTACCGAGGCCTGTGGCTTGCCAATGAACTTCGCACCGGCGACCGCCCGTCACTCCATGGCATCGAACTCGAACTGCAACGCCGAGCTCGTGTTGACGAGCCTTTTGCAACCAGATGTTTCACACATTTTAGATGTATGTTTCATGTGTTTTCCCTTTCAACGGCCGCCCATATTAACCACCGCAATGGCTGGTCTTCAGTTCCCCCTTACACACCTCTCACATTAATTATAGGTGAATCAATCGATCACAAGCATTCGTGGACTCGTGGTGTTGCTCCTTAACAACTCATAGGATATATACGTACGCACTCATCGTGGATGTTCATCAGATGCTTTCGACTTCTGGCCTCCTCCTCCCTGTCTATCTTTTCAGCTCCATAGAATAGATAGAAATGCAACTATAAAGCTGCGATCCTGGATTCCTGGTGGATGATCTTCGGGTTGTGGGGATATATAATCTATTCCTCAATTGTTATTCGGTGCTCATCTGTTGTGTAATATCTTGGGACGCTAGGAAAGCTAATCATGACGGCAGTGCTGCCGCGACGTATAGAAACAAATATGAAGCAAATAAATAAAGTCCGTGCGCAAGTTCACAAGCTGCCACATAACATTTTCATTGGTTTGACATAAGTTCGACATAGCATAACCAACTTAGCTTGTAAGTTTTCGACGCCAATAATAGTTCGACCTAACAAACTAAGACCCAGGAGTGTAAGGATCCCTCGGACGTCTCTGTCTCTTCAGATTTGTTGGCAACACATTGGGAGTGTAGCCAACGTCGGTGTGGTCGCGTTGACGGTGCGTATGGCTCATACCCTGCAAGTATATGATATGCACGATTACTTAGAATTCTTTATGATCGTTAGTTCATGTAGCCTACGTATTTAAAGAAACTACCTTTATTAGTACCTGTGTGGCTCCTTAGGTACCAAGTGGGGCACCACCTAGCTGAGACATGCCGATCTCGTCCTACGGCCAATCGTCCCACTGGTCGTGCTGTCTGCGAAAGCCCGGGGGGTCGTCATCGTCGTCCTTGGTTGCAGGGTCCTTCCCAGCGCTATGATGTGGTGGTGTACGCACCGCGGAAGTGGGGCACCTGTCACCAGCTGAGAAGAGCCGGCTGGTGTCCTCAAAGAGGCTGAAGACGTGCCACCCGACCGCGCTGGGAGTGGTGGTTCCTTATAAGGAGTGTCCATGCAGCTCAGCTTGTGAGCTAGCTTCCTGCAGCTCTTCTTCATCTTCTGCATAAATAGACGTTAAAGTTAGTGCATTTCCCAAACGCATATACACTAAAGAAACAATTTCGGAACGAACTAGTTTATGTTTACCTCCATAAAAGCCTCGAGAACGCCTGTCCCCTGCCCTCTAGACTCGTGAAGCCGGAACGCTGCTTCATTGGACAGCCTCGACAATTGTGTCGACTGGGTACAGAAATGTGGTTGGACAGTTTTAGTATACATAATTAATACCAAACGGATAACAAAATGTACCATTCAAGTATCTTACCATGTATCTTTGTAGTGGGGTTCTCTGTAGCTGTGTGTCCTCCCTAGTGGTAACGTCGTACACATCTTCGATGACATCTTCCTCCGAGTCCTCGTCAATCGCCTCCTCAGTGTATGGGGGCTTGATATGTGTCCTCGTAGACCTGTGAAATCACCGCAGGTACTCGTCGAATGTGTGCTGGTCGTGTGGAGGACCCGCATGGACTGGAAGCCGTTCCCTGGTCTCCCACAAGTGGATGTGCGCGTTGTGTGTCACGCGCCAATCCTTGGTCTTGTACCTCTTCCTACGGTCATACCTGCAACAAAACGATGTTAGTTATACCACACACACCTTTGAATTGTAGCTTTGTTATTAATCGATAACGCACCCGTGCAATCCTTGGTTGGTGGAGTAAAGCGATGGTGGACAGCCTGTCATTCTTCCAAACTGTCTGCAGACCCTGACGGGCAAGTGAATCTCGATCACATGGAAGAAAATAAGAGGGACGTCGCAGCGATAGTACTGGAGCTCCGGAGCATCCCAAGGACTCCAATGCATCTGAAATTTCGTAATTGAGTTAGGCTGTGATATAGTGTAGATCGAACAAGACACATGTATGATAGTAAAGAGAGCGTAACCTGGTGCTGTGTCTGGACGTCGAGACCGTCCATGTACTCCCTGTACTTGCGCCTCGCATTTCCTCTAACTAACTCTGATTTCGTCCAGATAAACAGAGCTGTAGGGAGTGTATCCTGCCCGTTCTTTTGCTGCATTGAACACGATAATGAATTAGCCATTAATAAACTCATCATATGTAACCATATCGAAGAATATAATGAACCGAAGTACTTACCGGTAAACCAGTATTAAGTGGCCTCCCAACGGGCCATCGTTCCCAACACCAAACCTGGAGTAGGTACGAGCAACCCCCAAGGTTCGCATACCCTGAGGAGCGACGACAGGCAACGCATAGCTATCGATACGTCCATGCCAGGACTGCGCTGCCCCAGCTGTACGCCGCTATGTTCTCCCACGACTGGCGTGGTATGTCAAGGAAGATCTAGCTAATGGTGTTGCCTGAGGCGTCTGGGAAGAGGAAAGCACCAAGAAAGTGCCAGAGTCACATTCGAGTGAACCTGTCGATCTGAGCCACCTCAGCCTATGGGTCCAAGTAATTAAAGCGCTCCGTGATCTAGGACGACGAAACACCGGAAGTTTTCTTGAAATTGACCAAAGAAAATGAGACCCGATGGCTGTAGGAAAGCATTGCAAGTATTAAATAGGCTTGAATTTCTCACTTATTTTTCTTGAAAGCCTCGTCGTCCGGTGGAAGAAAGCCAGTAAACTGAGCCACCAGCTCCCTCCAGTGATCGTTGTCAACTATCCCTGTCACTAGAAGTCCCCCCAACAGAAGGTCAAAAATAGCCTTCACGTCTTGCATGGTCAAGGTCATCTCGCCACAAGGTAGGTGGAACGTGTGGGTCTCAGGCCTCCACATGTTATAAGAATAGAACGAATATTAGTTGCCTCAAATTTGTTACAAGAAAGTTTACGTACAAAGAATGCACTCGCACCTGTCTACAGCTGCAGTAAGTAGTGCTGGGTCAAGGGGCGGAAGACCGTGGTTGATAATACGGACAAGCTCGAGGAAGCCGGCATGCCGTATGTACGGCGCATAATGCTCGTCCCACTAGTGCGCCCTGGTGTGCGTGCGGGGCCTTAAAGTAGGCAAGGCCACCTCTGCGTCGTTGTCACTCAAGATGTGTGCTCGGTGCTGATCGTCGTACTCCACCTCAAGAATGGGATACAACGGGTGCTGCGTGGGGGGCCATCCTGTTATAAATTGATAAACAAAGTGTTAGAGTATTCAAATTAACAAAATTCAAATTAACATTATGTAGCATTGCAAAATTTGAACTACTTGTTATACAATATGAAAGCACATGTATATATTCAAAGTAAAATTAACAGACATATCACGCACTAGTAACATAAACAACTTCCCTAGGAATATAAGCATTTGACGAAACTTCATGAAGTCATTAAAATCGACGTATCACGCACTAGTAAGTACCGACATTTGTAAACTAGTATCAATACACAAAATCCCTAACTAAATAACTAACTATAAACTAAATAATAAATACCTAATCAATCCCTAAACCCAAAATCCTAACCTCAAACCTAAAAACTACCTACGTAAATCACAAACAAATTCACTAACCTAACTATCCTAAATCACTAACTATTCTAAATCACTATCATAAATCAATAACAATTATAAAACCCTAACTATCCTATATTACTAATTATCCTAAAACAATAGTAATCAAAATAACATGAAATCGAGAGGGGGTACCTTAAGAGCGGGCGACGTTCGTGATGCGCCGGCGTTCGTGGCACGGGCATTTGTCGGCGGGAGTGGCTGATCGTGGTCATTGGTAGCGCCGCCAATGCGTGGTGCCTTTGGAGGCGGTAGTGGCGGGCTCTCTCGCGATATTTATTTGGCCTAGCCGCGCTATGCTCCGTGGCACAGCACTGCCGCGCCAAGATCGGTGGCACGGCAGAGCCCTGCCACGTCAGCGATCGCGTTTCCGGTCGTCGCCACGTCAGCCAGCTGCCGCGCCACCATGCATGACGCGGCACATGCATTTGGCCACGCCGGGGCAATAGGCGCGGCCAAAAGTGTTAGTTTAAAAAAAACGACCGTGTTAGATTTAAAATTAGTTTCAAAAAGTATTAAAATTAAAAAAAAAATCCCAGCGCACGCTAATCATATAGCAGTTGCTGTCAAATCAAACAAAAAAAATCATATAGCAGCAGACGGGTGAGGTTCAGGCTTAGCTTAGCCGCTTAGGGGCGCCCCCAACCGCAGCTTTTGCATGTGCAGCCTACTACTCAATCCATTATCCATCCATACACAATGCCGCTGCGAGCTCGCACAGGCTCACACCTCACTAGCTAAAAATATCTTCTTTCTTATCCATCCATGGAGACGGCTGCGGTGCTCACCATCCACTCCACCTCACATGTCTGTCTGCAGTGTCCTGCTGTTGCTGCTCCCGCTCATGGCCAGCGGCGGAGGGGAGGAATGGCATCAGCAGCGGCAGCCATGCCGCGCCGGCAGCCGTACGCCGGCAGGATCCGGGCTCTGCCGTCGGCGGAGGTCATCAGCGAGATCCTGAGCCCGAAGCTGGTGCCCGGCTCGCCCTCCGACACCGGCGACGTCTCCTCGCTCGTGCCGGTCAGTGCTCTGATGCTGCTCTTCTACTTCGTGTCCAACTGGGTGGTGCCCGAGCTGCTCATGAAGCGCCTCAACGAGCCCAAGCCCGAGGACGAAGCTGCTGCTGCAGCAGCATCGATGTCGTCCGGCCCAGCGGACGGCATCGACGCCTCGCCCCGTAAAATCCGCCTCAAGGTGAAGAAGAAGAAGAACGGGAAAGCAACCATCGTGAAGGTCTAATTAGCTAGCAGGAGTATGTGCACGAATGGAGCCAGGCGTCTCTAAACACAAAGTACGTACGTACGTATTACCGACGTCATAGTAAGCTATTGCCAATCAAAGAGTCTCCATCAGAGCATTGAAGAAGAAATACTCTAATAATTACTGTCAGATGATATGCACGTTAGTGTGCTGTGTCTGTATTTATCTTGTGATCGAATAAAAGCCACAGTGCTTATTTACACTACACCACGTCCATGGATGATGGATGTTACTGCCACACCTACGGGTACGTTTGATACGCATGTATCTTCCTTCGATAACGATACAATTAAGATACGGACGGACGTCTCCATCTGCTCACTCCTGCACGCGCCGCTCACCCAGCAACCCTATCCGCTCGCCCCGTCCGCGCGCCCCAATGCTCGCTGCACCGTTTTCTCCCTGCGTCGCCGTGCCCATCCGCCCAGGCCACTCCACCTCGCCACCGCTGGTCCCCCGCAGCACCGCACCCCCACCGTGCCGCGCCCCATCCCCTGCGGCCTCCTCCACGCTGCCTCCTCCACGCCGCATTCCCCACCGGGCCTAGTCTACATCGGCCGCCTCCACCACGCTTCCTCCTCCCGCGGTTGGCTCGCTCGCCACAGTCGCCTCCACCGAGCTGGCGAGCTGCGGCCGCCTACACCTAGCACGACGGATGCTCTAGCAAACAGGTGAGGGGGACGAGATTTGTGTGACGTCGCGCCTATTGGCGAGTTGCACGTGCCGCTACTGCACAGTGTGGTCCATGCACAACCGTGCCTCCATTCGTCAAGCAAAGCCCATGCTACAAGAGTATGTTTCCAATGTTATGTTGCAAAAGTAGATCGGAATGTTGCATAAGTTGTAGTGGCTATACAAGTATGTTTCAAGTGTATGTTCCAAATGTTTCATCTTGTCGTCCGGCCCATCTGGATGTTGCATCTGTTTTCACAGATATGAAGTATTTTCAGGTGTTTTTGCAAGTGTTTCATACGCATGTTTCGAATGTTTCAGCTGTCACGTACGTATGTTGCAAGTGTTTCATTTGGATGTTTCCAAAATAGATCTGGTGTTGCAGCTAGTGTTTCAGATGCATGTTTCATACTGCCTTCAGATGTATGTTGCAAGTGTTGTATCTGGATATTTTAAAAGTAGATCGTGTGTTTGTAGGGTCGAGATGGCGGACTAGAGGGGGTGAATAGTCCTTTCTAAAAATTAAACGCACCGGCTAACTGAAACAAACGCGGAAATAAAACTATCGGTCTAGCCAAAACTACACCCCTCTATCTATGTTCTCAAGCACATTAAAAAGATCCTAAACTAGCAACTAAGGTGCCGGGTTAGCTAAAGCTCACCTAACCAATTCAAGGAGCAAGGTCACACAAACCTATGCCACTAGTACTTCAAGCAACGGGGGAGCTCCTACACATGCTAGTAAGTAAATGTACAAAGTCACTTAAGCTCACTAGCAATGCTCAATAACAAGGCTACACAAGTCAAATTATAGAGCGCAAATTACTTAGCTACACAAACTAAGCAATGTGACTAACAAGGTTACTCAAACCGAATTAGTCACACAAGGGAGCTACTTCTATGCTACACAAGCAAGAAGGTAACTAGCAAGCTACACAAGCTAACTAATTACAAGAGCAACTACACAAGCACAATGAATGTGATTGTAATTACAAGCTTGTGTAAGGGGATAGCAAACCAACGGGAAGAGGATGACACGGTGATTTTTATCCCGAGGTTCACTTGTTTGCCATCAAACTAGTCCCGGTTGTGTCGACCGATCACTTGGTGGTTCGGTGGCTAATTGGCAACACCCACCAAGCCCACACGTTGGGCACCGCAAGAACCTACCCCAAAAGTGAGGGTAGCTCAATGACATGCTCTACTAGTGTTGCTCTTCGCGGCTCCCGCAGGGTGAGCACGGTACCCCTCACAAATCCTTCTCCGGAGCACCGCACAAACTTCCTTGCGTGCTTCGACGGAGACCACCACCAAGCCATCTAGGAGGTGACAACCTCCAAGAGTAACAAGTATCACCGGCTTGCAACTCGATCATCTAGTGCCACTTGATGCAATTCTCATAATACAATCGCACTAGAATCACTCACTCACAATCGGATGCAACCACTATGTGCACAAGTGAGTTAGAGGCTCTCCTAGCACTCCCCAAGCATGGACACTAAGTCCCAAGGGTGCTAAGCATGTGCCAAGGCTGGCCACACACTCCTTTTATAGCCCCAAAGGCTAAAATAGCCGTGTCGGTGTTTCGAGTAAATACCAACGAGTAAATTTGTATTATTGCGCGTCTAGCCCGGATGGTGTGCTAAAAGGCACAAGGTTTATACTGGTTTGGGCAGAATATCCCTATGTCCAGTTCATGGCTGCTGCTCGTGTTATTTGCACCGAAAAGTTTGTAGTAGGGGTTACAAATGGGCGAGAGAGGGAAAGTTCCCAAGTCTCTGATGGAAAAGTCGAATGGGTGCTGAGAGCTTGGTCGCTGCTCAGCTATGTGTGATATGTGTTGTGTTGAATCAATCCATCCCCTTAGTGGGGTGCCCTGCCTTCCCTTTTATAGACCAAGGGGGAGCAGGGATTACAGATGGAAAAAAGAAGAAAAACCAGAGGCAAAGAAGGTCCTTCGAAGGTGCCGGGTCTTCCTTTTCCTCTGAGCGAGCCATGTTGACACAGCAGACGGTGCCAGTGATAGCTCCATGCTGGGCATCTATCCGCTGATGAAGCCACTCTCTAGCTTGATCAGCAAGTGGTCACATACCATCCCGCCTTGGCGGGCGACGCGATGAACCAGGGTGTTGATCCGTGACCCTACGGGGAGCAGATGGCGTAGTGACCACACGTCCGTCATTGTAGAGGACGTGAGTCTCCTCCTGGACCATAGTGGTTGTCATATTGTTCCGTCAGGATCCGCGCCCGAGGGCAAATGGAGGTGCCCACAACACTATAAGACAAATGTCGGCGCCCACTACACTGTTCGGGCTCTGACATGCCCGGAAGGGCTTTAAAGTGCCCGTCTTGTCATATCCTGATAGTACTTTCCTACAGGCATGTAGGGTATGGTCCTCGGTATTGCGGTTGACTTGAGTGCCCTGCCTTATCTGCGCGCGTAGTTATGAAGAAGCAGCATGTAGATGTTGGGCAAGGCGGAGCCAGCCCCCGAACGTCGGGCGAGGCGGGGTCTGCTCCCAGACGTCGGGCGAGGTGGAGCCAGCCCCCGGTCGTCGGGCGAGGCGGAGTCTACCCTCAGATGTCGGGCGAGGTAGAGCCAGGCCCCAGGGGTCAGGCGAGGTGGAGTCTGCCCTCAGACGTTGGGCGAGGCGGAGCTAATCCCTAGACGTCGGGTGAGGTGGGGTCTCCTCCCAGACGTCGGGCGAGGCGAAGCCAGCCCCTGGTCGTGGGGCGAGGTGGAGTCTGCCCTCAGACGTCGGGTGAGGTGGAGCTAGCCCTCGGGGGTCAGGTGAGGTGGAGTCTGCCCTCAGACATCGGGCGAGGCAGAGCCAGCCCCCGGACGTTGGACGAGGCGGAGTCTGCTCCCAGACGTCAAGCAAGGCGGAGCTAGCCCCCGATCGTTTGGGCGAGGCGGAGCCAGCCCCCAGGGGTTAGGCGAGGCAGAGTCTACCCTTAGACGTCAGGCTAGGTGAAGCCAGCCCTCGGACGTTGGGTGAGGCGGAGCTAGCCCCTGGGGATCGGGCGAGGTGGAGTCAGCCCTTAGATGTCGGGCGAGGCGGAGCCTCCCCTTAGGAGTTAGCTTGGGGCAGGGCCCATGGTCTCGATGGACGGACGAGGAGTGTCCCGGCAAGCAGTGTAGTCGCGCTCTTGATCGTGCGGATGAATCAACGCTCGACGGTCATTAGCTCCTCCTCTTCGGGTACCCTAATATTGGTCCCCGATAGTAGCCCCCGGGCGATTCGAGTAGAATTGCTTGGGGGATTTTTTGACTTGCCAGTGGGTGCACGCGAGCGCACCCGGTGGGTGTAGCCCCCGAGCCTACGAAGGAGTAGGATACTTCTTCGAAGGGTTTTTCAAAAAGGAGGATTCTAAGGGCCCTGGCCCTCTATTGTTGCCCACGGCGTACCCTGAAGATGGTGATTTCTTCTTTGTCGAGGTCGGACCCTTCGCGGGTATGGTCGTGAGATTTGGTGGTTGTTTAGCTAGATAGCTTAATTGGGATCCTGGTATCCCATTTGTGGGGATCCGGTCAGGGTCAGCTTGGCTAAGACTCAATCATGGGCCGAGACTCCCGTGAAGCTTGTGAACCTGAGTTTTGGCCGATCGTGGGCCCATCCTTTGTCGTAAGGGTGCCTTGGGACAGCCATCGAAACCGTTGATGGGCTAGCCCTCGAAGTCCTGGGCCCAGCCAGGCCGAAGGAACGCTTTTTGACCCGTATCCTTTTGCTGGTAAAGAGTCCTGGTTTGCCTAAGGAGGCAAAACATCCGATGCGACTTCAGAGGGAAAGGATAGGGATTGGGGGCGCATATTCCACGACGTGATGTGGTGGTGGATCGTGGTAAGCGTGGAGATCCAGCCGGATGGTTACCTTCCTCTCATCCATCGCCCCTATAAAACCAAAGGGTTCGCCCCTAGGGTTCCGTACCTTGCCTCCTTGCCTTTGCATCTACAACCTCTGCCACCAATCGCCTAAGCCTCCCGCATCCGCGTCTCAGCCATCGTCGAATTCGCTCCACTCACCCTAATCCTCTAATGGAGTAGTGGTGCCGCTCTGATATCACCCTCCAATGCCTGGAGGGCCTCGTTCGCCATGGTCTTCTTTGCACGCGGACTACCGCCGAGGAGTGGCTGCTGCCCGATGATGATGATGCGCCGTCGCCGCTCGACGGCTATGTCATGTCCTTCGCTCACTTCCACAAGCGGGGATTTGCCACCACCGCCCACAAGTTTCTTCGGGGATTGCTGCACTATTACAAGGTAGAGCTGCAGCAACTTAATCCCAGTGGAATCCAACACATTGTGG